TAATTATTAAGGCCCCTATATCACTCGGCAAAATCACTGGAGCCAGCGGAGTCTCCGTGTTCTGAATCATGCAAACCTTAAGCTCAAACCCAGACTCTACCGGAGCTCTCGCACTCGAGGGCCGCAGCCACGATTGAATCAAAAGCGAAGCCCAACACCAGTTTTCTGAGCTTCAGAGGACTCCAGCTGCAACCTACTCTTGTGCGTGAAAGATGCTCCTCGAAAGCTGCATCCACTACCTCCAGGAAAGAACTTCTGTGCAGTTTAGGGGAGGAGAACTATTGCTGCTGCCGGTGTGCAAGTTGCGATCGTTGCCGAAAGGATNNACAGGCTCACTTGGCCTCCTTGCTCATATCGCCGGTGCTGCCGTGCTTCGCGGACGACCACGCCTCGAGTGCTGGCTTTCTGACGGAGTTTTAAGAAAAAACCGTGGCTTGGCTGCGTCGTCTTCCAAAAGACTTGCTTGTTGCATGTGGCTTTCCGGGCTTGCAGGCAGTTGGAACAATCTGAAAACATCTAGAAAAACCCTCAACCTAGCCCTTCCGAAAAGCCCGGGGGCTCCGCTCGCCGGCAGGTCTGGCATGAGTGCAACGCCTTGTTTACATCGTCTTATGGCTCAAGTTTGAATATCGACATCAGGGCAATTAAGTATATCATGTTTCTGAGTCTGATCTATTTCCACTCGAGATCAACCTCTTCTCTCCCCCGCCCGAAGCCAAGAACGCCGAAACAGCAAACCTTAGCCATATAAAGGACCAAACGAACCCTCAAGTAGCTTACGGCTCATATCTCTTCTTATTCGGGTCTTTAGCACTTTTTTCTGGAGCCGCGTACTTTCCGAGAATGAACTGGAATGAAGGCAGAACCCCCCTCCAAAGACCCAAAAAGCTTGTGCTCAAGTAGCCGTGGGGTCTGATGCTGATGGAGTGACCACCTTGGCTCAGGGTTTAGGGTTTAGGGGTTCTCTGTGGTGCCGGTTGCATAGGCAAGAGACAGGGACTTCCACTGCTAGTAAGTAGTGGGATCCGTTTAAAGCTCTGGGATCCCTGCATTATATGTGACTTGTCTTGGGCCTGTTGAGACTTTCGGTACATCTAACATTCGGGATCTAGGGCCACTTCTCGATGTTCGGAGATCCGTGAACCCACCACGGAGCTCTTCTCAAATCCGTCAAACCCAAAACAGAGAGGCACCCGAATCAAACCCTAAGCTAGAGACCCAGGGTTCCGCAAAGTTTGGGATCAACCAACCCAGAACCAGGACATCAGAAACCTGCATTGTAAACAACCCCTGAAACGGCCTTTACGAAAACTTCCAAAACCGTAGGACAGTAACCAAAAACTGCAAAAAAGCACCCTGAACCCTAAACAACCCTA